ATTATACTCCTCGTTGAAGTCGCTACCTGATTGCCTAATCCTAACCCTACCTCTAATCCTAACCCCTCCTCCACACCTACTCCTAAACCTACCAATACTAGAGGGGTAATAATCTGGCGGGGGGTCGGAATTGGGCACAACAGATGAAAATGAAGATGTTCTGGATTTTGATAACATATTTTATATATACATGTCTAAAATAATGTAAAATTAAATATACATCAGATTAGGGTTCACATATAAAGATTACAGTCTTACCATATAATGTAATAAAATTGCTAATTTTTTATTTCTATATTTAGTATAAAAAAACATACAGGATGAGTTTAGATATATTCATGTTGCAGTTTTGATTAGTTCATTCTTTCTAAGCCTCACCTGAAGGTGATTCCTTTGATTTTATAAGGATGTTTTCCTATAATGTTCATTTTCAAAAGTGATTTGCAATGAAACATATTCTGGGTTAAATATTGGTCAAGCTGTTTGATAATGTGTGTGGCATGCTCTCAGTTATTACAGAAAACAACTTCAACTGTTTGTAAAAAAAAAAGTACTAGAGGATTTAAAAGCAAGATTGTTAAGCTTGTATTTTTGTTAAATCACTCTCTTTCCTAATTTTACAGCAATAATGGTTGATATTTAAGCTGTGAAGCTGCCTAAATCATACTTTTTGAGCTGGAACTACATTTCTGTGAGGATGCATTAGTTGGAATAAGATGTAACAGTCAAAATGATGATCTTAAATACCAGATCCGTTCACAGTATTCTCTCTCTCTGCTTCTCTATATATTATAGAGTCCTTCAGGACGTTACAGAAAATGGGACACAGATGGGATGTTTGTCCTGCCGCCTGAAAGAAACACATCAAAGATGTATCCCACTATCTCATTCTCTTTTCTTCACAACATGCGTAATTTACCTACAACACAATTCAGTCTTGCTGTGTGAGACACGTAATATTAATCGACTGACTTCCAAGAGGTCCTAAGAACCATAATTGATCTGATACAGTTTCTGCAAGTCACTCAAATCATCCTGTAATGAATGTAAGGGAAACAGGTCAATTTAGCTCAAAGGGAATCATTTATGATTTTATAGGGAATTTGGACCGAATCACTGTTTTATGGCTGATCACTGAGACGGCCAGCGATTCATTGAACATATATATAACATATATGTATAACATCAATTCTGCAATGGATATTAATATCCAAAGTATACTGTAGTGAAAACACTATTTATTAGCACAGTAACAAAATCGGCAGTTTAAGACATTAACTTGTAAGCACGAAACACAAGATACTTCTCTTTTCAATATAAATAAGGCTTTATCTAAGACATGTAAACTAATCTAACACATGAACACATGCATTCACACATTCACGCAAGTTGCAGGAAGAGAGAAAGTGAGGAAAGAATGAATTTAAGAGAATGAAAATGTGAAATCCCAAGTTTACAACAATATGTGAAAATGCATAGACATGAACAATCATCAATCACTTAATTAACCCTCGCATTGAGTTCCTCAATGAGGTTAAAATTATATTAAGTGCACCAGTTCAGCTAGAATCTGGAGGTACTTGCTTGCCTGTGAAAGGGGTTTCCTTCCTTGTCTGGTTGCCGAAAGGGGTTTCCCGAGGTTGCTGATTGGCTGGAAGTTCAGTCTTGGGAAGCCAGTGGTTGGGCGTTGGCTGACGACGCGGAGTTGTGGTCTGGTTAAAGTTTTAGACGGCACTCGAGGTCGGACTCGGAGACGCGGTGTTAGGCAAAACTTAACTCAGAACACGAAACTCTCAACAGAAAATAAAAGAAACTAAAGTAAAGAAATAGAAGTAAAGTTTGACGAGACTAGGTGGCGTTTCTCCTCATGGTTTTGGAGGAGCTGGCGTGTAAGCCAGAGCACGCTCAAAGAGCGCAAAAAGCGATGACTGAAAAGCATGGCTAGAAGCCATGACCAAAAAAGAAGAGGAAAAAGGGAGGATTTGATGGTGTCCTGAGTATTTAAACTGGGCTTTTGGACACATCCCAAATGGTGCTTTGACCAATTAGATGTCATCTTTGCTCTGGGTGTTGTATATTGCTCCTCCCCATACATAAATCAACGTGTCATCTCATCAGACACATGGTCCGAGTTTTCCCGCTCTTGCAGAGTGTAATTTTGGACATGATTTCTATTACAAGAATATGATACATTTGACAAAGATTGGATTGGAAGAAATGTTTCAAGCAAGAATTTTCACACACACACATACTAAACATGAATATGAACCCTTAAGCTATTCAATAGTTATCAAAAAGACATACACAATACGTGATTAAAACTTAGTCACACATGTGGGTTACATATGTAACGAATCAGCTCATGGGAAATATGAATAATTAATCATAACTAGTTATAATTAATTATGAATATTTTAGATCTGCTGTAGATATTTAGCTGACCTCTCAGGGTCAACTGTCTTGTCAATTATATGGAGTTATGTATAGAAATGATTAGTTGCTCACAAGTCCTTTTAGTGTCATTTAGATGCATATTTACATGGAAATGCAGTTTCTGTGAAGACCAGAGGTTAAAAGGTTTATAAGGAATCTCAGTCTGTTCTTTGTCTCTGAGGTGGGGGAAAAAGTCAATCCGAAGAGCTTGTGATCACTATCACTGGTTTACATGTGATGGTCAAGCTGTGCATCTCTTTTGACCATTAATCTTGATTACTTGCCCCCAAAATTGACAATCTCCTTGGAATTGTCAATAATTGTTCTTTTGTTTAAATGCTGTGAGCTACTCAAAGCTGATAGTTGGTTCAGGCTTGTGGCGCCAGGATCTGATTTACGACCATCCTGTGTCTTGGGCCTCTGTGGAATTCGGCTCCTCGTGTTTCAACTGTTCTTTATCAAATCTTAAATTGTCTGATTCGGTCTGATACCCTACACTTGAAAATAGCATTTACAGTTCTAGAATAAAATGTAAGTGCAAAACTCACCACCACAATGCTAGGGTTTTGATGATGGTTGGCACTGGCAGGGTGTTGTTAGGTGGTCTCTAGGGTATTCTCTCGTATTTCTAGGGTGTCTATGTGTTTTTGGCACATTGCTCTGTGGTTGTTAAGGGTGATGAGTGCAGTTGTCTTCCCTTTCTTGACATAGTTCCTAATAGGAAAGTAATGGCGGGATATATAGTATAGTAAATAAATAAATAAATGTATGTATATATTTTTTAAGTCATGCATTAAATGTTGCATGGACTTCAAATTAATATCTTCCTCAATATTTTTATTTTCCAATACAAATATTTAAACATATCTAAATCAAGATACATTCACTTGAGATGCAACATATGAAGTCTTGTTTTCTGAGAATGTGAACAAAATTAAGTGAGTTCGTGCTTAAAACACAAACAAACTTCTGTTTTTCTCTGTGAGAATTTGCTCTCTCTTTGAATGAAGTTGCTTTTTCTAACCCTATTAGCAAATATTTGTTCTAGTTTTATGCATAAACTCACTTAATTTTGATAAATTTCTCAGAAAACAAGACTTCTTATTTTTACATAATTTGCTTTTCAAGTAAATGCATCTTGATTTAATAATCCTTAGACAAAGGATTAAACAAAAATACACTGTAAAAAATGACCGTGAATTTAACGGTAAAAGACTGTAAAAGTGCTACAGTAAAAACCTGTTAAATGGTTAATGGTAAATTCCCCTACTATATACGGTGAAAATAGTATTGGACATTACATGTATTGGACATTAATTTTACGGTAGTATACCGTTTTTGGAAGTGAAAAAGACTGTATAATTTACAGTGAATAACCGTAAATTGACATTCCCAGAATTCCATGTTACATTTCAAATGTGATGTTTTTTTGTTGAAATAACTATGTTTCTTCTTAGTTTTTTTTAATCAGTTTTGTATATTAGGGTTGTGTGTTACACCTAATGTTATTAAATGAATGTTTATTGCATTATTTCAGTTTCATGTGTGTTACCAGGATGGTATTTAGTGTTTGTGTGAATGACACTGTGCACCTAAAACATTTTTACAGTGTACGGCAAAAGAGCATTACTTTTTCGCAGTGTGATCAGAAGGTATACAGTTTGTTTTGTAAAATCCAATAAAAAGTTATGGAGATCTATAGGAAGTTCAGACGTTTAAGCATTGCTAATGCTAATACAAGACATTTCCATTTATAGACCATATAGACATATTTTGTTCCATTCAGCTTATTCCTTAAATTTATTTACTTGTTTTTAAAAGGTCTTAAATTTACCTTCATAAAACCTCCAGAAACCCTGTACTTAGTATTAGGGGGAGGAGCATTTCTTTCAAGAGAGCATCTGTTTGGACAAAAATCTGCCAATCAAGAAGAACCATGCTTTCCCTCCCCCCTCCATTTATCCTGAAAGAGAAAAACATATTTTAACCGTCTTTTTAAATTATGTTTTTGTCTATGTTTAGCTTACAGATTAACTCAAAACCAACAGACATGAAATAAAAACCACAAAACTGCAATTTTGGGATCTTAAAGGACTGTCTTCTTTCATTTCATGGCTTTATATAAAGCAGACTGCATTAAATAGCTTTATTGATCTCATCCTCTTCTGCCTTCCTCTCTACACTCTCCATCTCTCTCTCTCCGAGCGGGGTGGGTGAGTGGGGTCGTCATACGGTCACTGCGCTTCACCAAGCTACACTGCGACTCAGAGCTGCAGAATATGCCAGTGTGCATTAGTGTAGGGCTGAACGGAGAGAGAGAGAGAGAGAGAGAGGTGCAGTATAAAAGAAACAGTAGGATGAGAAACTCAAGGAGACTAGAGAGACATCATCAGCGCACTTACATGAACCCAGCTCAGAATGAGCCTTGCAAAATGTGATGCATCAAATATGGATGCGCTTTTTTGTGGATCTTTTAGCTAAAGTTCAAGGAACAGCCATCCATCACTTCATATAATTTTCACATTCAATTCAGTTTGAAATCGAAATGGATCTTGTTTACCTTCTAAATGTGTCATCCTGGTCCTACAGCGGTTGATTTGGTAGTACATGCTGCTCCAAAAAAGTTTGTCTTTAAAAATGTATGACGATACTTCACTTTTTGGATGACGTCATCTTACTTTTCAAGGTTTTCAAGGATATCTTACTTTTCAATTTTATGAAAATAAAATGTGGAAACACTTTACAATTAGTTAATGCACTTTAGGCCGCAGTGTTGTTTTCTAATACTAAAGTTTTTATTCATATTTTGAGTTTTTATTTTTACATATTCCATTTTCATTTTTAAATTTTTCGTTGTGTGTTTTGTCATTTTTATGTTGTTGTTTTTTAAAATTGTCTATATAGTTTTATTGATTTGTATTTTACTTTTAAAATAATGAAAAATAGAAATGTTGAAATAAAATATGTTTATTTTTAATGTGTTTTATTTTATTTCAGTTCATGTTTATTTGAATAAAAGTAACACAAATGTTTTAACGGTTTTAGTTTTAGTTTCATAGTCATTTGTCTTAGTCATTCAATTGTCATTTTTATTAGGTTTATTTTTTTATGTCTATATAGTTTTTATTTATTTTTATTTCAGTTATTTTAGTATTAAGTTAAACTAAATGAAAATAAGAAATGTTACCTTGGCAACTATAGCTAAAATTTTTTTTTTTTTTTAAAGTTTAAAGTTTTTATATGTTTTTATTATTTTTTTCTGTTATCATTTATTTTACTTCAAGTAACAAAAAAATGATGGTTGTAGCTTTAATAACCTTGGCAATATCATAACAACATTTTTTACAGCTTATCTACACATTAACTCATGTTATTTATACTTTAATGTATTAATATATGTAAATTAGCATTAGAGTATTGTTGCATTAACTAATATTAACATATAAAGATTTGTTGGAAAGTGTTACTGACTCAATTGAGTGTTCACTTGAGTCGGAGAGAGACTCTCCTCAGGCACATTTGGCCTTTGCAATGTTTGTTTTCATTGGTGTTCAGTAATTTGTGCTGGAATCATTGCTCCGCCCACATCAGACTAGCTACATCCTTATTGGTCTAGACAGCATCCAATAGTAATGCACAACAGCTGGCAAGAGAAATACATGATCTCATTTTCAGGGAAGCCTAAAGCAAGCTTCATCAGCCAACATTCATCTGTAATCTTTCCTTCCTCCATCCCCCATTTAATCTCACTGCGCTCTGCTGGTCTGTGACCAGAGGCTCGTTTTCTTCCGTGTCCCTTTGCTCCCTTTAGCTGTCCAACTGAACTGATCCCAGATCAGAGATGAAGCACACAAAGGTCGTGATCCTCATCTCTGCCCTGAGTTTATGTGCTGGGTACATGACCTTATGACAGCACAGCGAGGTGGCTCTCTTTCGAAAGATGTGACATAGTTTGAGGGCAGTTAAAGATGGAGTTAGGATCAGTTTCTATTGACATTTTGTCAGAATGACCCCTTCCTCTGCCTTTAGGCTCACAGCGGCCCAGAATCACTGCAGTTCAGAAGTTCACAGTGTCACTTTTTCCTGTTACATAAAAAATAAGGCTGCCAATCAATTAAAAAAATGTAAGCATATTAATAATTACATGATATGCTCATTAGTTAAACAAATAAAATCATTATATATATATACATATATATATATATATATGTGTGTGTGTGTGTGTGTACATTAATGAGGAAAAAGTAATTAACTTAAATGATTTTAGCAAATGACTGCAATATAACAAAGAGTGAAAAATTTAAGGGGGTCTGAATACTTTCCGTACCCACTGTAGTTCATTACAATATGTGCAACGCTCTTTGTCTTCATTGTAAACAGTTCATCTATTGGTTTAAGTGTCTAGATATTGTCGGGGCAACTGTATGATGTAAGTGTGTGTGTTTGTGTGTCAGGGTCTCAGTGTGCTTCATATAGCAGCTCTACATGGACACCTGGACTGTATGGAGCTGCTGCTGGAGGATGGTGGTTCTGCGGATGTGAATAGCAGTTGTCCTCATGGACGCAGACCTGTACATATGGTGCTGACTGCTCAGAGCCGACCCAACACACACGCCTGCCTCATTTACCTGCTGGAACATGGAGCCCAGATCAATGTGTATGAACGCGTTATCATTAAGATTCATATCTAATAATGAAGGTGAACACAGATATGAGTATTAAAATGCAGATGACTTTGTTTCTTTCATCAAAGTCAGCGTGAAACAATATTTACAACCAATTTTAGTTATTATTTTGGAGTGAAACTGGATATTCAACAAGGGGGAAAATGGGCGGGACTTGGTTTTACATACTAGGTTTTGATTGGATTAGGAAAGGTGGGTGTTACATAACATGAGCTAATGAGCAAAATCAGACAAGAATAGGCAACATCAGAGAAAAGAAAAGGGAAAGTCATTCTGGAGGTAAAGCATGTTACTATATTTTGATCAAAGATTACGAAAACAATAATACATGTATTTATTGTGTTAAATGAATTTTTATTTATTTATATTTTAATAACATGCACGGATGAATTCTGCAAAATGACGCCAGGATTGATCAGCCAAAAAGGCAAGTAATTTTGAAAAAAATATTAGATAATATTTGTTTATTTTATTTTATATTGTCATTATTTTATTTATTTTTTGTTCATTGATGAATTGTGCAAAATTAGACCAGGATTTGTTAACTTCAATTGAAAAGTAAAGTAATTTTTTTAAGGTGGAGCAAGTTATTATATGTTGATCCTAAGATTTTAAAACAATATTGAATAAATAATATAATTTATTTGTTGTTTTTTTTATTTTAATAACATGCACTGATGACAAATTGTGCAAAATTAGACCAGGACTGGAAACATTTAATAATTTTTTTAAGGTTAAGCAAGTTATCATCTTTTTTGCACTAATATACAAACATGCACTAATGAATAGTGCAAAATTAGACTATTAAATTATTAGATACTGAACTCAAATTACCAGTGGATGAAAAAGCAGACATATGGATACATTGTCAGCATAATCATGATTTTAGTAAAGTTATGGTGTCAGAACTGTGTCCTTATATATTAAAGGGGTCCTAATATGGTCTTTTACAAAGCCTTGATTTTGTTTTGGGGGTGTACTAGAACAGGCTCTCATACTAGGTTGTTCGAAAAACATTATTTTTCACATATTTTACATTATTACAACACTTCTCTCCCCAGTCTGGCATGAACGGCTCAAATAGGTCCTGTATCAAATGAAGGACCGCCTTCTGAAATACGAAATGTGCTGTGATTGGTTAGCTGGGCCGGTGTGTGTTGTGATTGGTTAGCTGGGCCGGTGTGTGCTGTGATTGGTTAGCTGGGCCGGTGTGTGCTGTGATCGGTTAGCTGGGCCGGTGTGTGCTGTGATCGGTTAAGCTGGGCCAGTGTGTGCTGTG